TATCCTGCCAATCAGAGGATATTCCCTCTATGATTACACCTGTAGGCCAGCTATATAAGGCCATACTCTTACAATGAAAGGCATGAATGAATATCCCCTGTTTCTCTCTCAYTGAATCCCTCTTTTCCTACCTTCCCCTCTCTTCTTCCTCTCCACTTTCTGTTTCAGGAGGTTAAGCCACCCTCGAAGGGGCTTCCGAGGTTAGCAGTATCTCACCAGGATACCTTTGGTCTTTGTTCTCAGCACTCATCTACTAACTGTTAATACTGAATCTGTGATATCTGACGATGGTAGATACATATAGAAAGTACTACTTTTTATTTCACTGAGTAATACTCTTTTTTTCTTTGGCAGCATTTGAAGGAAGAGATGAAGTTGAGCTACCTTGCTCAGGAACTGATCTCAACTGATCGATTAGCTCCACAATCTTGGTATCTCCTTCAATCTTCTGTTATGCAAAATAATGTTACACACACTATATCTTTTGTACATTTTTTAAACAGTGTAGTTGTGAGCTCACATTCCTACCTAGATCTTCTCATGGAGGTTTCACATCAACATTTTTTATGTTTTCCATGCAAGTAACTTCCCGTTCTAGTCATTGTCATTAAGTCTAGTTTATTTATTGAAAAATCATTTCAGTTATTATTTTCACTTATGCTTACATATCTTTATATTCAAGCATTTATCTTCAGGTCTTGGATGCACTTGGTCATAATTCATAGGCACATTCTATCTTCAGCATGAATGAACTTTTAAGATCATTTGGTTCTTGAATAAGAACTCAATCCATTGTCATTTTCATCACCTGCCTTATCCCATCCAAGTGGGCAAAGCCTTGGCTCATTTTCTATTTTAGTAACACAACCATTTTTCCTGCCTGCCTAAGTGCTGACTGGAGTCTGTGGAATGAATTCTCAACATGTCTATGCATTAAAACAGATGTAGTTGCTTTCATCAGCTGGGTTGGGTAGGTCGATTACTGATATGATTATTTGTCAGGGTTTTTGCCTGTTTCTCATCATGCAAGAAAAACCAACAAATTGTTAATGAATATCATACTGCAGATTTTTCTCTAGTTCATGGTAACAGGAGGAAAGCATGTTCTTGATCTTTTTTGTGATAATGCTGCCACTAGAGAAACATGATGAGAATTACATTTGTGTACTGGAAAAGGTTGTTAGATAAATTGCAACAATTGAATATTTTCTTGGAACAGCTTATAGCTTTTGGATATGTATTTTTTTATTCAGAAAAAGATGTATTTTTTATTAAAAAAAATATATGTATTTTCCTTGTGCACTTTTCCCCTCATCTTTTCATTTTCTTTTCTGATTGGATGGCATACAGGTGTGCTATGGGAAACTGCTATAGCTTGCAGAAAGATCATGAAACTGCTCTGAAAAATTTCCAGCGTGCTGTTCAGCTAAATTCAAGATTTGCATATGCCCACACCCTTTGTGGTCATGAGTAAGACATCTGCCTTTTCACTTATGATTCATAATATAGAATTTCAGATTCCATAGTGATATAAGGTTTAATTTCAAGGCATTCTGAGCAAGTTTTTGGTTTTCCAGAAAATGACCAAAACTGCTAAAATGGAAAAATTTCTGCTTTGACCAATGACTCGAAGAAGGATATATCTGGATCAATTTCAATCCTTTAGAAATGTTGAATGAAGTCTTTTGATGAATGATGATGTTATTGCTGCTTTCATAATTAGAGAGAATGTAGAGAAAGAAAACCTGGAATCATTCAGTAGGCACCTAAAATCACTCTTGTATTTATGTTACCCACTTACTGCAAGGAAAATATGAATAGAATATAACCAATCACCATAAAGTATAAACCCAAAATCATATATCTATGTATCCTTGAGCACTAGCGTGGTGTGGTATCTATACAGACATACAAATACTACCATCCATACTCAAACACGAACAAAACTGAATAACACTAACCATTTAACCAACGGCTGAAATTTTAAGCATGACTAGACAAATCAAACTAATAGGCTAGAAGCCACAGACAGCTTGTAAAATGACCAAAATACCCCTAATGTTATAAAAATATTAAAGTACATCAGAAATTCATAAAGTTCCTATTTTGGCATTTTGACTTCTTACCTTGCGCATTACATAGATCTTGACTGCTTTTCCTGTTAACTGCAACCTCCAAGCTATTTCCTTGTATTTCTTGTAGCTCATAACTGTGCACTTACTACAACTATTTCCTTTATGAACAGGCATGTAGTCTTAGAGGATTTTGAGAATGGAATAAAGAGCTATCAGAGTGCCCTTAGAATAGATGCAAGGCATTATAATTCCTGGTATGGTCTTGGTATGGTATATCTTCGCCAAGAGAAGTTTGAGTTCGCAGAACATCATTTTCGAAGGGCTTTCCAAATCAATCCACGTTCATCTGTTATTATGTGCTATCTTGGAACAGCTTTACATGCTTTAAAGGTTAAGAAAATTCTGTAAAATATCATTTTCCTGAACATTTTCTTTTGGCTGTTGATTGCACCATTGGTACACATAAAAGGGGAACTCTATTTTCTAGTTAAAGAATCCTCCATTCAATCTTATGTCCTAGTTTATCTATTCAACTGAGCTTCTTTGCTTCTATAATTTGGCAGAAAAATGGGGAAGCTTTGGAGATGATGGAGAAAGCCATAGTAGCAGATAAGAAAAATCCACTCCCCATGTATCAGAAAGCTAACATACTAGTGAGTATTGAAAATTTTGATGAAGCTCTGAAAGTTTTGGAAGAGCTTAAAGAGTATGCACCTCATGAGAGCAGTGTGTATGCATTGATGGGTAAGATCTACAAGCGGCGTAATATGTATGAGAAATCCATGTTTCATTTTGGACTTGCTCTGGATTTGAAGCCATCTGCAGCTGATGTTGCTGCCATCAAGGTACATGCATCATGACTACTTTTTTTTATTGCAATGGGAATCAGTTATAAAATGCATCTGCATGCTCTAAAAAATATATGTAAAGAGACTGGGCCGAATGGGTCCTAGTATCTTCTCTTGTAATATCTTTTCTTTTCTTGTTGGCTAATGGACCTCTCATAATGGGCCTGTTATTTCTTTTTTGTTTAATCTCTTTATGTTACTGCCTAGCTGGCCGCCCACTTAAGGGCATACTTGTCATTACTCTAACATTAATTCTTAATAAAAAAGGATTAGAGGAGAAAGGGAAGATAATTTGAAACTTCTTCTTCCTCCTCTTTTCGCCATCTTCTTCTGTTGTGCTGCTGCTCTTACTTCTCTTCTTCCTTTTTCTTCTAATCTTCAAATTTACACCTAATATTTGATGACTGATTTACATCTATATACTATATATTTTGATTGCTATTTGGAAAATACACTGGTGATATTTATACATAGAATAGTTGGAGTTTTTCTTCCTTTTTCATCACAAGATTTCAGGGTAAAGATATCATTAATATCCTTAGAATTTGCAAATATCTAGTCAGACTGAAAATATGTATACATTTGTTGGATGTGAAGTTTATAAAGATGAAAGTATGATGTGGGGCCTAAGTCCCTGTTAAGAGGCTTTCACATCTGATGAGCCTTTGAATTTTGTTA